TAATCAAAAATCTAAATACATGTTTAGATTCAGCATATCAAAGAACCCTAAAAATTCAATTTTTGTTAAAATCAAACTAAGTTTAATTTTGGACCCTTTGGACCTTAATGTAGACCAATTTGAAAACGGAACCAAAAATTAAGAATCTAAATACACGGTTAGATTCGGCATATCAAAGAACCCCAATAATTCAATTTTTGATGAAATCAAACAAAGTTAAATTTTGGACCCTTTGGACCTCAATGTGGACCAATTTAAAAACGGGGCCCAAAATCCAAAGACTTAATACACGGTTAAGGGTAGATTCAGCATATTAAAGAACCCCAAGAATTCAAGAATAAAACCCCATTGAAATTGATCAAGAAATAAGCAATTTATACGAAGTATCTTCTTTTGCACAATACTGTGCAATTGAATATTTCTTGCTATTGCGCAATACTGTACAATTGACAATTTCTTGCTATTGCGCAATATTGTGCTATTGGATATTTCTTGCTATTGTGCAATACTGTGCAATTGAAAATTTCTTGCTATTGCACAATACTTATTATATAATAATTTACACATCCTGTTTGGTGTGTATCTCCTACCATATCATTATTATTTGCTTTTAAATATAAATCAGAAATAACCAACTTAAAATGGAAAATTTTAAAAGAAAAAAAAAAGGAAAAAAAGAAAAAAAAAGAAAAAAAACACCCCCCCCCCCCCCAATTTTTTGAACCCCCTTATGATTCATCACCCCCAAACTCAATCCCAGCCTTCCCTTTGTGGTATGGTACCTTGCAGTACAATTTCAGAGAGATCCATACACTTGAACACAAGTTATTGTCTGGAAACTAGAAAAATGCTTATTTTTGGCCTCTTTTTGGCCACCAATTCCTAAACGTTTCGGGCAATTACCCCCAAACTCAATTCCAGCTTTCCCTTTGTGATATGGAACCTTGTAGTACAATTTCAGAAATATCCAAACACTTACACACAAGTCATTGTCATGAAACTAGAAAAATGCTTGTTTTTTGCCCCTTTTTTGGCCCCTAATTCCTAAAATTTTGAGGCAATTACCCCCAAAATCAATTACAGCCTTCCCTTTGTGATATGGAACCTTGTGGTACAATGTCAGAGAGATCCATACACTTACACACAAGTTATTGTCTGGAAGTTACAAAAATGCTTATTTTTGGCCCCTAATTCCTTAACTGTTGGTACCATAACCCCCAAAATCAATCCCAACCTTCCTTTCGTGGTATTGAACCTTATGGTAAAATTTCATGAAAATCCATTCACTTAAACTAAAGTTAGAGTGTGAAAACCAATGTGTCTTCGGACGATGCCGGACGACGACGACGCCAACGTCATACCAATATACAACCAAAAAATTTTTTATTTTTGCGGTCGTATAAAAATGCTTATTTTTGGTCCCTTATTCCTTAACTGTTTGTACCATAACCCCCAAAATCAATCCCCACCTTCCTTTTGTGGTATTGAACCTTATGGTAAAATTTCAGAGAGATCAATTCACTTAAACATAAACCATTGTGCGAAAACCAATGTGTCTTCGGACGACGATGACGACAACGACGACGCCAACGTCATACCAATATAAGACTGCAAAATTTTTTTGCGGTCGTATAAAAAGGTCATGCATCTACATGAAATTATGACAACATTGAAAGACAATGCTTTGTCTTCTAAAGAAAAATATGCATGAGAGCCTAAAAAATTTGTAAGGGTTCCGCGGAACCCAGTGTCTCGCCTACTTTTGCTGTTAGTAGCAGGCTCAACAAAAATGTGGAAAAAATTATTAAATTTTTTTCCTCTAGATACTATCTTTTGAATGTAAGAAGTTCTGTTCAAGTTTGGTAAAAATCCAAGAAGGTTAATGAATCTAATAAATGTTTTAAAAACTTTAAATGCAGACTGTACGTAATGTTAACTGGAATAAAACTAAGTCCATCTATAAGTAATATACGGAAAAACAGGAAATAAATTTTTACAAAATTTCCTTCTAGATACTAGCTTTTGATCATAAAGAAGCTTCTGTCCAAGTGTGGTACAAGTCCAGGATAGTTTAAGAAAGTTATTAAAATTTTGAAAGCTTTAACCACAGAGTGAATGTAATGTTAACTGGCAGAAAAACTAAGTCCATTTATAAGTGAAATACGGATAAACAGTTTTTTTTTTAACAAATTTTACTTTTGAATTCTATCTTATGATCACAAACAAGCTTCTGTCCAAGTGTGGTAGAAATCCAGGATAGTTTAAGAAAGTTATTAAAATTTTGAAAGCTTTAACCGCAGAGTGAATGTTATGTTAACTGGCAGAAAAACTAAGTCCATATATGAGTAAAATACGGATAAACAAGATTTTTTTTTACAAAATTTTCTTCTGGATACTATCTTATGATTATAAACAATCTTCTGTCCAAGTTTGGTACAAATCTAGGATAGTTTATAAAGTTATTAAAATTTCAAAAACTTTAACCACAGGGTGAATATTTGTGGACGCCGCCTATGACGCCGACGGAATGTAGGATCGCTATGTCACGCTTTTGCGACAAAAGTCGCAGGCTCGACAAAAACGGAGATAATGTTAATTTACTTTACAATGCAACCATCTATAACCACAAAAAATGAGGAAAATAATCTTATGTTAAGTAAAAATGTTCAATTAGATAATTAAATATAGATAGCTCAGCTCCTTGTGAACTCTCAGACAGGTTTATGATGTCATAGGTGGTGCACTTTGGCCACCAATTAAAATTAAGTCTTTTCATTAACATAAATAAACCTAAACAAGTCTGTCATTTTTTGACTTAAATAAGTCTGAAAATGAAAACACATTTTTATAAAAAATACATTTTTTGACTTCTGTAAGTCAAAAACAAAAAACGACTTGTTTATGTTTGAGCTCTGACTGATTAAATGAAGCTTACCTTAAGCTGAAATTTGATTACAACAAATGGAAGTTTTTAACGACCTTGACTGGCTATACAGCCCTTGCACGGTCGGCCCTGGCTTGCGCCTTTTTGGGCATTAAGTAATTTAATTTTTACCATATGGTAATTGATATAATTTAGAATGACAAAAAAATTATTAAAAAATAATATAGAGTAAAAATTTGAATAACTAAATGAATAAATAAATTGATGAATAAGTTAATAAAGAAAAGAAAAGAATATAAAAATAAATAAGGCCTAAATTAATATATTGTTTGTTTCCCCAATCCCAACCCTGCCAAGCCAGGTGTGGGTAGGTAGGTAGGTAAATAATTTTATTTTTTCCAAAAAGCTGGAACAATATCAGTCATCTGGCAAGCCTGAAAATTGGAACTGAATAAAATAATATTTGACTTAGTTTTGACAATAAAATTTTATGAGTCGGACCTGTTTTTGCAGGGTCGGTAGGGATTGGGGAAACAAACAATATTTTATTTTAGGCCTAAAATAAAATAATATAAAAATGAAATTTTAATATAAAAAAAAAAAAAAAATGGGTAAAACTAAATAATTAAAAAACACGGAGCCACCAGAAGTAGGAACAGGAGCAAAGCTAGGCCAAGCAAACAGCAGTGAACGGCAGCAACGTTGTCCTGGTACACCAGCAGCCAAGTAAAGAGCGGAAAATTTTGATATGCCAAATTGTGTATGTGAATTTATTTGCCAAATATTTTGTATAAACCGAAATATGCCTAAATTTGTGTATGTGAGTTTTGCAAAAATAATTAGTAAGATGTTTTGTATGTACTAAAAAAAAAGAAAAAGAATTATTGAAATTTGATTATAATTTTGTTGAACCTATTTATGCTGAGAGTTAACATGCCCACCCTATCACTCGTTTTCCCCCCAATGTTCTTTTCTGATGTATCATGTGTATTATGTGCTCTGTTATATTCTTTGAAAAGTTACCTCTATAAATGGCATGTGCACTCTCATGTTAACTCTCAGCATAAATAGGTTCAACAAAATTATAGCAAGAGTAACAAGAAGAATTTGAAATACAAATATTTCTGGATATAAATATGGATCGAACTTACTGGAAATTCAGGTCTATCAAATTTTAAGAAGTTCGGTTTGAAAATTTATTCTATACTCTCCAAAAGTGAAGGATCTTGAGAACTCTAGGAATACTATTTAAAAAAAAGTAGTAGGTCATATCATCTGGGATGGAATTGTAATTTACACATCTTATCATTACTTTTGGGTAGTTCTGGAAATATTTAGCACCAACAAGCACACAAAAGGTGAGAATTGATATGTATGCAAAAATTTCTAACCATCAATGAAGATTTCATGGCAAAATCTCATGGGTCTCAAAGTTGAGAACAAAATTCTCACAAAGTTCACCTGAAAAAAATGGCTTCAGCATAATGATATTGTGGTAAGGTGTCACAGCTAAATAATAAAATAGCCTTTCAAGAAGTTAATTTGTTATAATTACTTGGACTACACTAAACATTCTAAATACCAGAAAGCCTTACAAAGAAGAAATCCACCACAAACTTTTAGATGGACATCAGGACCATTACTAAAATAGGGGGACCTGCCTGATTTTTGGTGGTCAGGACCACAGGATTGCCAGTTTTTTTTTTAGAACACTGCAAAAAATGGGTACAAGTTGGTAAAAGTATGAATTGGTAAAAGTGTGAGTTGTCAAAGATACAAGTTGTCATGTTCCCTTCGGTCCATTGTAATTACCAGTATCAGTTTTGATAAATTCACTCTTAACTATAATTTTGATACATGCAAATATTTTGGTTTTCTATCTTGGTGTTTTTTTTCAAATTTCATGCAGTGCGAGTTGTAAATAGTCTAACATTGGATATAATCAAATTTGACTTAAATTAAAAAGGAAGGTAAGGCATATGGTATATGTATAAAAATAGAACATTTAGAATTTAGTGCAGACAATGACAAAATTTTATATCGATATCCTGTACCCAAGCGGCTTTGAAAATTCGGCCAGACGAAGTATAACTTTCCATTAAAAGTGTTTTCTTACCCTGAGTTACTTGCGTCAGTTGATTCAATGCTATGAATCCTTAATTTATTTGCAACATCTTTCAATGTCTGGAGAGTTTTGCTGTCTGGTCTGTGGTAGTCACTCATTTTTCCAGGATGTAACACAGTCTGTAGTCGACAGATTTCCACGCTCAACTGTCTGGCCTTGACCCAAAGCCGGTAAACTGGTTGCAACTTTGCCTATATTACTAAGATGAACAAATTGTAGACAAGGAACCAACCAAGATGAATATCTGGTTTCCAGTTCAATCATTTGCCTTTTTAACCTTTCAAAAATACAATTCAAAATCCCAGGTGAAAGAAATACTAATTTTCTGTTCAAAGTTGGATTTCAATGATTCCGGTAAAGTGATAAAAAAGTTAAATTTATCTAAAGTCCCTTAAATACATACACAAATAACATAAGCTCTGGTGAGCTTTTAAAAAATACAAAACGTGCAAACATTGAGCACACACCCAGACAAGCCAACACGAAAAGATAGAATATTAGATCTTATTTGAGTCAATAATCCGCCAACTAATCTAAGTATAAAAAGTAAACTTAATACACGACCACCTATCGGCTTAGCAGATCATGATATAGTTTATGGAGAAATAGACACCCGGTAAAAAAGAGTAAGAGAAACACCAAGAAAAATACTTTTAAAATTCAAAGAGGCAATCTGGAACAACACTGATAAACAATGACCTTAATACAACACTTAACACCCATCAATATCATGTATGACTCAAGTGATGCAGAGGCACTATGGGACATCTTCAAAATTAATCTCCTGAAATCTGGGACTATTCATACTAATAGTATAATAGTCCCAGCTGAAATCAATAGAGTCAAATGTACCTCACAAATTCTCACATACATGCACAAGCACAAACTACCTTGGATAAACAACAATCTAAGGAAACTCATAAACAAGAAAATCAAGTGTTATAAAAACAGAAATAGCAACCCATCGAAATACAAGAAGCTAAAACAAACAGTTCAAAAAGACCAAAGGAAGGCATATTGGGAATATATAGAACAAATTATTTATGATTTACCAATCAATGAACCAAACCAACATCAGTCCACAAACACAAAACCAAAAAAGCTATTTCAGTATATCAAAAGCACTAGAAATGATAATTCAGGAATTGCGCCTCTGAAAAAGAAGTCATACTAATAACAGACACTACTGAAAAAGCAGACATATTAAACCAACAATTTCAGTCAGTATTTACTAACGAACCACCGAAAAATATTCTTGATAAAGGTCCAAGCCCATACTCAAAAATGCCAGAAATAAAAATTACAACACCAGGTGTCGAAAAGTTATTACACAAACTAAATCCCCACAAAGCTAGTGGTCCAAATAACATCAATGGACGTGTATTTAAAGAACTAAAAGCACAAATCGAACCAATCTTAACCATCATTTTTACCAAATCTCTTGAAACAGGCAAAACATCAAAAGACTGGAAACATGCAATCGTTGCACCAGCATTTGAAAGGGGCGAACGATACAAGGCTGAAAGTTATAGGCCAATTTCACTAACTTGTATTTGTTGTAAATTGATGGAGCACATTGTGACAAGTAACATCATGGAATATCTGGAGGCAACTAACATCCTTTACGACCTCCAACATGGTTTCCGTAAATCGAGATCATGCGAATCACAGCTTATTCAATTTATATCAGAACTTCATAACAACAACAGCAAAAATATACAAACAGACCTCATTATTATTGAATTTGCCAAAGCCTTCGATAAAGTATCACACAAACGTCTACTCTACAAACTTAAATACTATGGCATTCAAGACAACACTCTTATAGAAAAACAAAGGATACGGGGTATCCATCCATGACACAAAATCAGCACATGCACAGCAAAAAAAACACACAATAAGCAAAGGAACAGCGCCTTTTTATCAGACCGTACACAAACAGTGGTTATAGACGGAATAACATCAAACACAGTACCAGTTAAATCAGGTGTGCCCCAAGGAACTGTCCTTGGGCATATACTTGGGCATATACTCTTTTTAATATATATAAACGATTTTCCAGAATACCTCGATCACAGCAAATTACGACTCTTCGCCAATGATAGCATTATATACCGTGAAATAACATGTCAACAAGATTGCACAAAACTACAAGCGGATTTAAATGCGGCTGCTAAATGGGAGGCTGATTGGCTCATGGCCTTCCGTCCAGGAAAATGCACTATTCTAACCATCACACAGAAAAAGAAACCATTCAAACACGATTACATTCTGCATAACCATACTATAGAACCAGTAACATCAGCAAAATATCTTGGCGTAACCTTAGTCAAATTTAAAATAGAACAATCACTATGCGACATCACATCAAATGCAAACAAATATCTTGGCTTCCTGAAGAGAAACATAAAAGTATCTAACACCAATATCAAATCCCGTGCATACCAATCCATAGTGAGACCAAAACTTGAATATGCCTGTAGTGTATGGGATCCACACACAACAGAATACACAAATAAAATAGAAATGGTACAGAGGCGTGCTGCCCGTTATGTATGTAACAACTACCACAACACCAGTAGTGTTACATCCATGATACACAATCTCCAATTGCCCTCACTTGCTGAGCGCTGCCTCAAAACCAGACTGATTATGTTCTACAAGGTCATCCATGGACTCATTGCAATTCCATCGCTAGTCGTTATACCAACAGATACTAGAACAAGAAAATCACATAACCAATCATTTCGGAAATATCCACCTCAAAAGACAGTTACAAATGGTCATTTTTTCCACAAACAAAAATTAAATAGACATGTTACCACAAGTTGTGGTATCATGTTAAACAATTGAAAGCTTTAGAGAACAGTTGACATTAAATTAACTGTTCTCCACAACATAAATTAACTTAATAAATATCAATGTACATATTTTTAATCACTTGTTGTTTTTTTTTTCTTTCATGTAAATATCCCCATTCAAGTAATCTACAAATTCAAAAAATAAATTGTGTTGTGTAACTATAATTTGAATATTTTGAATTACATACTCCGCGCATGCAACAGTTCGTAATCTTCATTATCATATGAAGCTGACACTGTATATCAGAAGAAGAAGAAGAAGAAGAAGAAGAAGAATATCAATAATACGTATTAAGGGACGAACTTCCCGGGTGTGCCTAGCGATGCTATCCTCGTATATATATTTCTATTTCATTGTAAATTTTAATTAAAATCAGAATGACTATTCAGCTTCAGAAATCAGGTCTTTGGATTTGGTAATAGCCAAGTTTGAAAATTACTGTGGTGTTTTTATAAAATTATATTTGGGTGGTCCAGTAGTCTAGTATACGAAAGTCTGTCAATTGGAGTGTAAAAATATTCCTCAATCAATACATAAGGCTTGGAGATTTTTGCTTTGTGGAATGAATTATAAAACAAATGCTGCAGTTACTGGAGGCATGGATCTACCATCTATTTTGAATAAATAGAGGAAAGATGTCCGATTAGCTTGTAAAGTCGACTAAATTATATGAGCTCAAACCGATTAGGTAGTGGTAACAATTATCAACGCACAAACATTAAGTGATCACTATACAAATCCGTGTGAAAAGTGCTGTAAAATATCACTCCTTTTAGTCACACAAGATCTGCTTCAAAGAATTAGATGTTGTACAACACACAATCGAAGCAGAGAAATATGAAAACTATAAGTTTGAGCAAGGAATTGTATATCAAATATAAAACTTCTTGGTTTGAGAGAACAGAGTCTGAAGGCGTGCCTTTGATTGTATTATTGAAGATAAATCGCATATTTTTATAAGGATGTTCTCTAAATGTTGATTTTAAAGATAATGTTCTTAAGTTGCTGAAAGTTTTAATGAACATTTTAGTAATATTTCAATTATCAGTGTATTTGTTTTCGGGTGCAAATTTAAGTCAAACCCTATTATCCCAAGAAAACCGTATAGATATGATATGTACGGTAAATAACAAATAACGTATTTAGACACATTCAGTTATAAACTCGTATAACCCTTTGTGGAATGACTCTCATTGTATCTATAAATAAGACACATGATAAAAGGGATTATTCCAATGTATGTAAATAGTTGCAGCTAAATAAATATTAATGAAAATAAAGAGATATGGTATAGTAGAAAAGACTCGAATGATATGGGGTTTCCATCCATGACACAAAATCCGTAAATGCACAGCAAAAAAAAAAACACAAACAGCAAATTAAGGAATAGCGCATGTATTGCTGTTCTTCATATCAAAGTCACAGTTAGGCCTTCAACACAGAGGGAAACAAACCTCTCACCTCACTGCAAGTTTAAGAGCACCGGTTTGAACGGAATGTTTGCCAATGAGACAACTATCTACCAGAGCCCAAAAGACAAGGACGTATATATAAAACAAATTAAGGGCATTGGCAAGTGCCTTGAACAATGAACAAAAACCATACCGTCTAGTAAGCTATAAAGGATTGGATGAAACTATCCCACGCGACAATGAACAATAAAAATGTATACCATTTGCCTTAGGGAAATATTATATGAATAACACATAGCTGAGAGGGTGATAGAGCAGATTGTTACCCCGAGAAAACATTGTCAACTGATGCGAAGCCAAGGTTGATAATGTCTTTTCGAGGGGTAACAATCTGCTCTATCACCCTCTCACCTATGTATTATTTACTTTATTATACTGAATGTTATGTTAATACTGTCTGTTAAATTTCCAATTCAAAGTAATTATTTTGAACATTCAATTTTTATCATGACGGTGGAATATTAATGAGAAAAAACGATACCGTTTCGATTCCTAACATCACTGAAGAGACATTAATTGTCGAAATCCGGATATGGTGTACAAAAACCTTTGCACCTTTTGTTTGCGGTATACCATCTTTTCCGCAAGTTTATTGTTTTCTGTTTAGTATTAAATTTATAATTAAGATCCATTTATTACATCGGTGATCCGTTTATTTGGCAATCGCCAATGGCAGTCAGTAGGGTTTAAGAACATTTGTTGTTCGACCTGTTAGTCAAATGCGTTTTGTTAAAATATACTTTTTCACTTTTTTGGTCTTTTGGAAAATGTTGTTTGTGCTGTATATATATATATATAGGACTCAAATCTATGGTGGGTTCCAAATCTATGGCAGATTTCATGGCAAATA